AATCACTTAGAAATGGCCTCTATTACTCACCAATAAAATTTTTAATGAACACTTTTCCCAATTGTTACATACAGTTGTAACTCGTAAGTATTACTAACTGCAATGATGACTACAAAATCCATCACAACGGTCAAAACTAAGTCAGAAAGAGCACCTCGACCAATTGTATGCAGCATTTCCTTCCGATAATAAGCCTTCTTTCCCTGTAGAAACTGTAGCTTTCTCCAAATGTCTTATGTTTATAGATGATCGGGAAGATGTGACTATCATCAATATTGATAACCAATCCTTTCGGAATTCCTGAGTAGAAATCACAAAATTAACACTCCTATGTAAATTGAGAACTAGGATACTGGAGCAATGAGTACAATATTGAGAACAATTATTTATATAGAGCAATACAATGGGGGATGAGTTAGGCACTATGCTATGAAATAAAACAACTAAAAGTAAATAGACTTGATTGCATAAAGAATATTTTAAAATTTTTTAATTAAAAGAAAATCTGATGTAGCTTAAAACTCTGATAAGGTTTTGTAGAAATTTGTTGGACATGTGGGACTAGCACTTCTGATTAATTAACATAATTGAAGCCCATTTAATTAATTAACTCCACTCCCCACCACAAAAAGAAATAAGGCTACATGTTTTACAATTCCAGCTATTCTCTAATCAAGTAGTTTATTTATACAACAAAAACGTAGAATTAAAGTGTACATTACACATACACACAACATCTTCCTCTTGCCAACAAGAGGGACAGAGACAGTAAATGCTTCCAACCAATGCCTACTGACATATCCATGACTATCTCTAAAATAATTTCCTCTAAACACAATTTATAATCCTTAGACAGTTCATATCAGTCTAGTAATCTACAGCTATTTTAGCACCTAGATGTAAATTAAAGTGATGAAATAAGAAATGAGAAACTCTATATGCAAGAGAGGTGCCAAATAAACACAGGCAAATATATATATCAGAATCTACAGGAAACATCTATTTGGCATCCAAAGACCTCGGGAGATTTATTCTAAAGAAAATAGAGCATAGTCTGCAGATTTCTTACAGATAGATCACATGTAATGGCAGATACATTTTCACCCTGTGGTTTTGGTATGTTTTCAAGCTGCTGAACAATCTGCTGGAAAAGACCTTTCAAGCTTGAATCTAAGTCAAGAGCCACCATCCCAGGGGTATTCAACAAATACCGGATTCTACCAGCACAAGAAGAAAGGTATGATAGTGCATAACCTCGAATCGCTGCATATAAGTTCGCAAAGCATAAAAATAAAGTACACTTTATTTTTAGAAGAAATCTCTTACTGCAGTAATAAAACAATGTT